CAACCCAAAAGCTCCTTCGTTGTATAAACCAGCAAAGCGTTCGTTCATTGTAACCCTGCCCTGCAAGGTCCTGAACTACACCGAGCTGGCCAAACCCGCGCGGTGGCGGGCGGCGCCACTGCCCTTGGCCTGGGCCGGGCCCGCGGGGCTCCTACCTGGCCGGGCTGCTGCGGCTCCCTCGGCGCCTCCCTGCCCCAGGCGGGGCTGCGGGCACCACCCCCGGGCCCGTGCCAGGCAGGGGTCGCCCCATGCCGGGCAGGGCAGCGGGGCCCCGGCACGGCCCGTCGGCCGCAGCCGCCCAGCCCCGCCGCGGCCCACACGCACCTGCGGCGCCGCTGCGGGGGGGCCGGGGCGCCGCACCCGCCGGGCTCGGGGGGGCCGCCTGCCCAGCCCCGCCTGCCCCGCCGCCCGCCGGGAGCGGGCTCGGGCCGGGGGCACCGGGGCCGAGCGGGGCCTGCCAGCGGGGCTCCATCCCCCGGGGCCGGGCAGCCGGGCTCCATCCACCGGGAGCCACAGGATACCCTGGCCACGGCACGCACCGGGGCTGTGGCACACAAGTGCTTCCAGAAGTTTCCCTGAACGAACCTCTAAGAAAAGCCCGGGAGCTGCTCCCACGCTTCTTTTGTAGCTTCGATTTTCTTCGTTTTTTTGTTTTTTTTTTTAATGTTTTTTTTAAAAAAAAACTTTTGTTTAAAAAAAAAAAGTGCAAACAAAGTTAATTCTCGCAAACTCCATAAGCACGTTTACAGCCAAGTGTAACACATTCCTGACAGCATCGAAATGCCACCAGTGACAGGACTGGAAATCCCCCAAGTACAGGGATAGCCTCAGATAAGGTGCTGGGTTTTCACCTGAGCTTGCARTTAGCAGTGTGATCTTGTAATGTTTTAGCTGCCTCAACCTCTGTTCTTATTTTGGAGTGTCATTTCTCCAAAATGATCCTGCCTGGCATYTCACAAAAGCATCTGCCACAGGTACGAGTACCTTTACAGAGGGAAGATGGAAGTACAGACTCCTCTGCACAAAAGCTCAGTAACCAGTGCTTTGGTATAGGTCAGCTGCACATTTCGTAAAACTCAGTAAAACCTTAGTACAACCATGTTTTTACAGATTTACAGAATTTTTGATAGCAAGCTTCATTGAAGCACACAAGCCAGTGCTTGTTATTCCTGCCAAAAACTTGGGTTAGCCACATCCCTTTCTGCTATCAGTCTTACCAGATATCTAAGAAAACCAAGATGTGACGCCATGCAATCACGTACATCAGGACTAGAAAATTTGGAGAGTTAAAAACAATGCTTAGTTTGCTGATGGTACAAAGACACCTTTCCGGTCTGGATCTGCTACATGCTCCAGCATGACTGCTGTGATTCTGAGAGGAGCAGTTAGTTCCAAAGCGAGCCAAATAGGCTGGGTAAACCTTGCACATTTCAGTTCTAACAAATCTTGCATCCTTCCTGATGAAGGGGTGGAATACGTGATTAATAGGTTGTATGGATCAATAGGGCACTATGCTATCTRCAGTATAGATGGAAAGGAGTTTTTGTGCTGTTTATTTCATTTTGTCCAAATAGATATGGCAGCTCTTTTTAAAAGGCGCAACTGGAAATTGCTGCCCAGTGTCAATTTCATTTCTGTGTACTAATCTTTCACCTTCACTTTGAAGTAGTTTATTTTGCTAAAACTTCTGCTAAGAATTTCTGGTACCTGCAGCTATTTGTCTTTTGAAAGAAATAAATGTATATTAGCRCCACTATCTCATTTCCTTTTTGTTCGTGACATTTTGAGCTACTGTCGCTTCACAGAAAACCCCCTTAAAACGTCTTCATATTTTAAGTTAGTTTTTTTTAGCCAACATGCTTTTAACTTGATCATGGATGGAGAAAAAATGAAAGAGTGTTCTGTTCCATGTGGGCTCTTTCTTCCCAGAGCTTAGCATGCTCTCCAGGCTGATCAATCTCCTTAGGGTAGATTCGATGCAAGCTGAAGTGGCACRCTGGCTTCCAGGCTCTGCACCCTAGCTAGTGCATGAATGAATTGCTGACAAACTTGGAGTAGAATAAGAAGAACGAGAATAAAAGCTTAAATTTCATTTCCTTCCAGCACAACTCCTAATACTTGAGTGTGTTTTTAGGCTAAATCCTGTCAAATTTGGTAAATTGTTTTGTTGAGGTGAGCAATAGAAAATCGTTAGGCTGTTTTATGTAAGGTAGTGGTTTAAATTGTACCTAGTACTACTCAAGGACTGGATATGGTAAAACTTGAACTTGGTGGCTTGAAGATGAGACCATGCCTTGGTACTTTCATGGGAATGAGAGCTTGCTCTTGAGTAACAACTTTCATCTTGGAGTCCATCTGCCTATATTTGAAGCCGGGCTTTTTCCTATCAGCATAATTGATCTGATTTTTATCTGACCACTCAGTATCATAAGGTCTTTCTGACTTCATTTCTAATACCTTCCCTCATCCTTATTACTCTRAATACTTTCATGTATTAGCAAATTATCACAATCTCATTGCTCCTCTCCCTTTCCAGATTGCTGAACAAAAAAAGAGTAACTATATAAATCACTAAAGAACTCCACTGATGACTTTTCTTCACACCTTCCCTTACTATCTTTTCGGTAGTTATTCATCTATGCAAGGACATTCTATCTTACCCTTCTTATTTTGAAATTACAATATGAGTATAATAAATTACGCAGAGGTAAAAAGATCAAAATCTGTCACACTGGTCATGCCCACAAACATCTACCTGCTGATATTGTCCATGCTGATTTCTGAAACTCTGAATTTCTCAAAGAAATCAAGAAACACCAAATATTTAATTTGTCTAGTGAAGTGACAGGTGCTGACATGGTATAGCAAAACCTAGGAGATCACTTCTTGTGAGTTTCAATTTATCCAAGGCTTTTACATTGTAGAAACTTTGATTACTCATTGAATCCACAGGAACTTGGGTTTTCTGGCTTGTGAAGTTCTCCATAATTAAAGACCRGTAAATAATTTACTTAAACCAAGTAAGAAGTCATTAACATATACCAGGATGCCATGTGTAACAGGCATGTCTGTATTTAGCACCACGCTGTTATTGGTGGCCAAGGAATCTGACCCTGTGTTTTGATAGCTCTTTCAGACTAGATTAAATATGTGAGAAAGTTGYCATTTTTATTTGACCCAACACAGGTTGCAAAATTAATGTGTAAGCAGACCTATTATACAGTAACCAGGAGTTGGTTAAGTGAACAAAGACTTCACCAGTTTTGTCCCTTTTAATCACTCTGTGAGTAACGGTGGTTTGAGTGAAACTGAAAATAATTTTGTTGCAGGAATGTTAAGAAATTTAATTGTTCAAAACTGATAGTCACTGTAATACTTGGTTTGACTCAAGGATGTCTTTGGTTCACTTTTTAAACCATTTAATAAGTACCATGTGTTAAACTTAAAAGCCTTAAGGTGCTATAATGGGGAAAAATATATGAGATGTTACCTTTAATTCCTTTTTTCTTTTATGTCTTTCCTTCTTGTTGAAGTGTTTCATTTAGTGGAAATTTCTGAAATATTCATTGGTATTCCCATTATGGTCAGCTTTCCTGCCTCAGAAGTGAAAAATTTAAGTTCTAGAGCRGAATGTCTTTCATTAGAGATAGATATTAATCTGAATTCAATATATTAATTTCAACCTTAAATCTTCARCCATTCAAGCATACACAAACAGCTGCCTGGACCCTAATGTGAGCTGAGAGCATCAGACAGACAGAGGAAATATAGGTGATAAACAAAACTTCCTCCTTTGCTTTTCTAGTCAATTTGCAAATCTACTCAAAATATGAGGGGTTAATTCAAAACCTTTTTTTTTAGATTTAGTTTTTCTAGATGATTTAATTTTATTTTAAAGGTAGTAGCCAAATGAGTCCAAATGTTGCTAAGGGCTACAGAATGATCACCTGTTCACTAGAAAGGTTGCCCAGATATATTTTGTTCTCAACAACTGAGATTTTGTTTAATTTTTCTCATTACACTTACAAGAATTCTTGTATATAATAATTTATATACAARAATTATATTACATTATATATTACATATAGAATATCTTTCTCTTTCTTTGTAATAAAGGAAAAAATAAGTCTGGTTTGATATGGAATGTTATAAATTGATATGGAATGTTATAAATTTATCTCATTCACTCACCTGACCATTTTTTTTAAAGCTGGAAGGACTATAACTCAGAATAGCATGGAACAGCTAACAGCAATTGGTGTGAAACTAACAACTGCCCTGGTAGAAAACAGAATAACTAAAGCATTATTTTAGCAAGTGGAAGTGTGGAGAACAAGGGAAAGCTGGTGACAAKGAAAGCTCAGGAAAAAGTCAGGCACCAGAATAGTTGCTATTGATAAGATGTGTAGGGGCTTGAAAAAGGACTGGAGGAATATGAGCTTCAGGGGTAATAGGAGTAAGAGACAGAGTAAACAGAGCCAAAATTTCTAGCCAGAGGCTATCCGAGAAAGAGCAGAGCAAAATAGTGGAATTTTTCAGTCTCACAGAAGCAAGGTAAAACATCATTGCAGCAGTAATCAACATCTTTGTCTCTCATGACCTTCGCTTTCTAAGTCTTCAAATATTATTATTATTGACATCCTGTATAAAACACAGCAGCCAGGGTATTAATAAAACATTCTTCTTCAGTTTCATTATAGGTTATGTAAATGTATTTCTATTGTTTATTTACCAAGAACATGCAAAGCTGAGTTCCTTATTTCTGATGATTATGACCTCTAGCTAATATAGTAATCATTASTGTTAACATTAAGATTCAGGAATGATTTTCTGTTCACAAATACTTTTCATAGACAGACAGGCATAAATTCCTGTTGGCACACATGGACAAATCAAAATAATGTTGTTTAGCACATCTAGACTTGGACATATTCATTCAAAAAAAATCTCTTTCAGATACACTTAAATATATTCTTTTAAATTATATATATATATATATATATATATATATATATATATATATATATATTTAAAATATTATTCCTGGAAGTTAAGAACAGGAGAGCAAATACCAGTACAAATATTTCCCTGTGAAATCTAATTGCAGCTCAAATGTAAGGATTTAATATATAGGTCACCTCAGTTGCCAATATTTGTAGTTTACCAAGAAAAATAAAAGTACTGCATACATTCCATAGAAACCAT